CATGTCAGACTACACAGAGAAGCCATTGACATCCACAAGCATCTGATCAATTTCAACAGAAAGGAAGAAACCATGAAACTAAAAATCTAAAATCAGGAACACTCAAAAACAGGGGAATTCCTGACGTGAAACAATCAGGGCCAGCTAATCACCTCCCAACAAAGGATTCCGCAGGCAGCAACCAGCCAGACTTTCTAAAAACTATCTAGAAAAGGGGTCAGCGGGGGTCGGGCTTGTAATAAGTCTGCTTTTTGGGAATCCTCGAAGGGGGGGGTTCCAGGGGTGCAATTTGCATCACTAAAAACTCACCTGTGGTGACCCGACTTACCTTCATTGAACCCCAAAAAGAGCTCAATGAAGGACCTGATACAGTTACAGCCATGTCCTTATCTGTTTACACTATGGAGGATCCGAAGAAGAAAGGGAAAGGAGGGAGGAGGGAGGGCGGAGAGAGAGGAAAAGAAGGGAAGGGAGGGAAAAGGAAGGAGGGAAGGAAGGTAAAGAGGAAGGAGAGAGGGAGGGGATTGGTGAAGAAAGGGAGGGAGGAAAAGGAATAGAGGGAAATGAAGGGGAAAGGGAAATGAAAGGAATCATAGAATTATAGAATCCTAAATTTGGAAGAGATATCGTGGGCCATCCAATCCAACCTCATTCTGCCAAGAAGCAGGAAAATCGAGTTCCAAGAACCCCGACAGATGGCCATCCAGAAAAGGAAAGGAATCAGAGAATCGTAGAGTTGGAAGAGACCTCGTGGGCCATCCAGTCCAACCCCATTCTGCCAAGAAGCAGGAAAATCCCATTCCAAGCACCCCCGACAGATGGCCATCCAGAAAAGTAAAGGAATCGTAGACTCCTAGAGCTGGAAGAGACCTTGTGGGCTATCCAGTCCAACCCCATACTGCCAAGAAGCATGAAAATCGCATTCCAAGCACCCCCGACAGATGGCCATCCAGAAAAAAAAAGGAAGAGAGTGGAGGGGGAGGAAGAAGGGAGGAAAAGAAAGGGGGAAAGGAAGGAAAATGAGAAAAAGATGGGGAGGGAGTGAAAAGGAAGGAAAGAAGGGAGGAGATAGGGAGTCGAGGGAAGAAGAAAGGGAGGGAGGAAAAGGAAGTTAATAAAAGGCAGAGAGGGGAGGGGAAGAAGGTAAGGAAGGAAAGAAGGAGGGAGGAAAGGAGGGAGGGAATGAAGAGAAGCGAAGGAGGAAAGAGAGATAAGAGGGAGAAGAAGAAAGGGAATGAGGAGAAAGAAGGAAGGAAGGGGAAAGAAAGGAGGAAAGGCGGAAAAGGAAGGAAAGAAGGAGGGATGAAAGAAAGGGAGGAAGGGAAAGCGGGAAAGAAAAAAGAGGGGAAGAAGGAGCGTAGGAAAAGGAAGAGAGGAAAGCCCCTCCCTCTGGGAAAAGCTACACAACAGGCCAAAGGTCTCTCCGTAAATCTCCACCTCTTTGCCTACCTAGACCCCCCCCCCCCAAATTCCTAGAAGGCCAAAGTGTGACTGGCTTACGTTTCCCCAAAGGGCAGCTCGACGCCCAATCCGTGATTCCGTTCTGCCATTCTACATAACGATCTCAGCGGGAAGGATTTCGGGCCTTTCGGTGGTGGTGGCGTGGGGGGGGGGGGGGGGGGGGGCGCTTGATCCCCTCTCGACCTTTCTTCTGGTCTATGGAAATAAGCCATTCGCTGCCCAACGGTATGACCGGCAGTGCCTACAGTCTGGAGGCCCATTGGACACTTCCACGGGGTTTTTTGTTTTCCCCAGAGGTGCGTGGCCATTGTAGAATTGATGCCGTTTGAACTGCCCTGGTTCAGTGCTATGGAATCCCGGAAAGTGTGGTTTTACAAGGTCTTGGGCCTTCCCGGTGCCTCGCCAAACGACAAATGCTGTGATGCCGTGGCAGTTAAAGGGCCGTGGCAGTTAAAGGGGTGCCAAACGGCATTAATTCTACAGGGTAGATGCACCCCACGGCAGATCGAATGGCAGCCCTTCAAGGCACCGCGATGGATTTCCCTGGGAGAAAGTGCCCAGCAGTGGAAGGGATCTCCTTCCAGATAAGCCCGCCTTGGAAAGTGGATGGCGACTCTCTTTTGGTGGCCCAAGGCGGAGGAGGCACCTCGAAACACTGTGGAGTGAGGGGAAGGGAGGGAAGGAGGGAGAGGGGGGAGGAAGGAAGGAAGGAAGGAAGGAAGGAAGGAAGGAAGGAAGGAAGGAAGGAAGGAAGGAGAAGGAAGGAAGGAAGGAAAAATGGAAAGGAAGGAAGATAAGGAAAATTAAGACGGAAAGAAAGGGGAGGGAGGGAGGATAACAGGGAAAGTGGGAAAAAAGGAAAGAAAAGGAAGGAAGGTAAAAGGAAGAAGGAGGGGAGAAAGGAAGGAAAGGGGAATGAGAAAGGAAAGAGATGGGAGGAAAACCAAAAGGAAGAAAGTTAAGGAAGGGAAATAGAAAGGAAGGAAAAATGAGGATAGGAGGGAGGAAGGGGGTATAAAGCAAGGAAAATGGAAAGAGAAGGAAGGAAGGAAGGAAAAGGAAGGGAGAAAGGAAACGGATGGCAGAAAGAAAAGGAAAGAGAAAGGAAAGAGAGAAGGAAGGAAAAGAAGGAAGGAGAAGGAAGGAAAGAGGGGGAAAGGAGGAAGGAAAGAAGGGAAGAAAAGAGAGAGAGAAGAAGGAAAGGAAGGAGAAAGGAAAGAAGGGAAGGGAAGAAGGAAGGGAGAAGGGGAAGGAAGGAAACGGAAGGAGAAAAGAAAAGAGAGGGGAAGGAAGGGAAAAAAGGAAGGAAACGGAAGGAGAAAAGAGAAGGAAGGAAGGAAAAGGTTGGTAGAAAGGAAAGAGAAGAAAGGAAGGAAGGGAAAGGAAGGAAGGTAGCAGGAGGAAGGAAAAGGGGGGAACGGAAGGAAACGGAAGGAGAAAAGAAAGGGGAGAGAAGGAGGGAGGGAAGGAAAAGGAAGGGAAAGAAAGGAAGGAAAGGAAGGAAAAGGGGAAGGAAAGGAAAGGAAGGAGAAAGAAAAGGGAGAGAAGGAGGGAGGGAAGGAAAAGGAAGGGGGAAAGGAAAGAGAAGGAAGGTGGGAAGGAAGGAAAAGTAAAGAAGGAAGGAATAGTAAAGAAGGAAGGAAAGCATTCTTCCTTTGGCGAGACCTGCTGCGACGGGATCTCCCTCCGGCCCAAGTTACCCATAAACCGCCCTTTGAAAACACAAACTCGAGATCCAGTGCGGCAGGTTGAAAAATGGACCAGCTCTGCGGCGCCTGGCCGTGACGCTCTTCCCAGCCGTTTGTTTCCAAGGGAAGGCGACCCTCAAGCGGGCCAGTCAGAGGGTTTTCCTGCCCAGATTTCGTTGCCTTCGCCTCCCTGTGAGGCTGAGAGAGTGTGGCTCGGCCGACAAGGGAAGGCGACCCTCAAGCGGGCCAGTCAGAGGGTTTTCCTGCCCAGATTTCGTTGCCTTCGCCTCCCTGTGAGGCTGAGAGAGTGTGGCTCGGCCGAGGTCAACCACCCTCTGGCCTTCAGGGTTAACATTCAGAGCCCAGGATGGATAATTATGTTTGTGGGAAGGTCCTCTGGATTCTGTGCTCTCTCGCCCTTCTACCTACCCAAACCATCTCCAGTGGTTTGGTGGTCATATTCAAACGCCCTTCTAGAAGAGAAAAACCACACAACAATGGGGGAGAGGAAGCGGGAAAAGAAAGACAGGAGCAGAGAAAAGAGGAGGAAGAGGAGGAGGAGGAAGAAAACCCGGCCTCAGACTGCTTCCAAATCTGAAGGGAAGTTTGGGTCCAGGTTTGTGTGGAAGCAAGATTTGGGGTGTTCTGATTTTTTTTCCAAAACTCCCCCTCCCCCACTCAGAGATGCCTGTCTGTTTGTTTGTTTGTTTACTCCGTGTGTTTGCCTGAAACGGATCCGTTGGTCTTTTGGCCGATGTCGAGAGAGAGAGAGAGAGAGAGAAAGCGCGTTGGGCGCTTCCAGCCAAAGACGCCCCCGAGTTGAATCCGGAGACCTCCTTAAAGGGACCAGGCAGTCGTTTGAAACGGCCCTCGGGGTGTCAGGACGAGAGAGAGAGAGAGAGAGAGAGAGAGCAAACCCCAACCCACTGTCACTTGATCTTCCAGGCTGGCTTGTGCAAGGGATCTGATGGAGGACGCGTTGCCCAAAGCCAAGGAAGGAAAAGGCGGCTTCCATTCCTTCCATCTCCCTCTCTCTCCCCTTCCTAGGGACAAGAAACAATCAGGGCCAGCTAATCACCTCCCAACAAAGGCAGTAAGAAGCCAGACCTTGAAACTGCTGGGCCATTCAATGATAATCAAGGTGGCCAGTTGAAACATCTACACGTAACTCCAACAGACTAGAGTTCTTTCTCCCACCCTGGACATTATTCCACAGATATATAAACCCTAACAGACCTCACAACCTCTGAGGATGCCTGCCATAGATGCAGGCAAAACGTCAGGAGAGAATGCTTCTGGAACATGGCCATACAGCCCTGAAAACTCACAACAGCCCAGTCATTCCGGCCATGGAAGCCTTCGACAACATATCTTCCTAGGGTGCTTATGCATTGATTTATTCCTTCCCTCGTACATACAAATAAACTTCTTGGTGCTTTTTTTTTTCTTCACCCCACGCGAAACCCATTCCCCGCCCAAAAAAGACACACGCACACACACCACTAAAGGCTCAAACTGGGAAACACAGAGGGAGGGGGCTCTCCTTTCTTTCTTTCTTTTTTCTCTCTCTCTCTTTCTTTCTTTCTTCCTCCTCCTCTCAATCCCTCCAGAGTTGAACATTCGGCTGGGGAAGGAAACCCTCTCTTCTCTCTTTCCTTTCTCTCTCTCTCTCTCTCCCGTCCATCCCTCCTTCTTTCCCTCCCCCCTCCCTCCCTCCCACTCCTCGGTGGCCAAAATCCCCTGTCATTCTGCTCCCAGGGACTCCATGTGACGCCCGCTTTCCATGTAAACGACCGGGATCCGGCGCAGCGCTGGGGAAGCCCCGTCTGACAGCGCGCCCCAAAGGTAAGCCCTTTCTTCTCTTTTCGGTACTTATTCTCACACCCCTCAAAGGGACGAGGAGGGGGGAGGGTTAACCCCACCCTAAAGGCTACCCCAGTCCCCACTGGACGCCGGTTAGTTAGCTTCCTTCGCGCCCTTCTTTTCTTTTCTTTCCTTCCTTCCTTCCTTCCTTTCTTTCTTTCCTGAGCTGCAATCTGGTCTCTCTCTCGCTCGCGCGCGGGGCTCATTTGAATGTCAATGGGGAGGAGGAGAGGCTGGCTTTGGAGGGAGAGAGAGAGAGGGAAAAGGGGGGAAAGAGAGAGAGAGGGGGAGAGATGCGCCTTAAATGGATTGCTCTCCTCTCGTCGGGAAGGCTGACTGGACTGAGACTCGCCTCTTAAGCCTTGGCGCTTCCCGAGAGGTAGGTGAGGTGCCGTGGGTGGCTCGCCCCCTTTCCCTCCTTTTGCCCCGACTTCACCCTCCTTCCCCCCCAAAATGTATGGATATTTCGTTTGAGAGAGGCGGGGAAGCGGGTCCCCTTCCCTTCCCTTCCCCAACTGCACCTCTTCCCCACATTTGCCCTTCGGAAAGGAGAAAGTGGGTCTCCTTTGCCTTTTCCTTCTTCTCTTCCCCAACTTCCCTCCAAACTGATTCGGATTTTCGTTTTGGAGAGGCGACTCCCCCTCTCCCCATCCCTTCCCCAACTTGTTTGGGTTTTTTGGTCCCCTTTCCCTCCCTTCCCCAACTGCACCTCTTCCCCACATTTGCCCTTCGGAAAGGAGAAAGTGGGTCTCCTTTGCCTTTTCCTTCTTCTCTTCCCCAACTTCCCTCCAAACTGATTCGGATTTTCGTTTTGGAGAGGCGACTCCCCCTCTCCCCATCCCTTCCCCAACTTGTTTGGGGTTTTTTTTGGTCCCCTTTCCCTCCCTTCTCCTGTGTCCAGCTACTTCCTCTCATTGTATTAATATTTTTTTGCTTTGGAGAGGCTTTGGGAGGTCCCCTTTCCCAACTTCGTTCTCGTCCACCCAAACTCATTGATACCTTTGGTTTGCTTGCTCTTCCCCTCTTCTCCCAAATTTTATTATTATTATTATTATTATTATTATTATTATTATTATTATTATTATTCTGACACAAAAGCACAGTATGTCACAGCAAAAGAGATCTATATGCTGGATTTCGTATCACAAAATCACAAGTCGAACACTTCCCAAGTGTCTAGGACTGTGTGATTTATTATTATTATTATTATTATTATTATTATTTGAAACACAACAAGATGAGTCCACAGCATCCACTCTGCTGGCTGTTGTATTGGATCACACGTTGGACACTTCCCAAGTGTCTAGGAATTATTATTATTATCATCATCATCGTCATCGTCATCTGTTAGAGTGGCCGTTGAGTCCTCTTCCCGAGCTCCTCTCCCTCACCAAATGAATTAATATTTTTGTTTGGAAGTGGCGAGTGAGTCCCTTTCCTCCCCTTCCCCCCCTCTTCTCCTAAATTTATTATTTTCCTTTCGGAGGGGCAGGTGGGGTTTCTTGGCTTTCTTGGCTCCCCCTTTCTTGCAACTTCATCTGAGAGTCCTCCTGGCGCAATGGGTCAAACCCTTATGCCGGAAGGACTACTATCCGAAAGGTTGGAATCCGGGGAGCGGGGTGAGCTCCCGTCTGTCAGCTCCAGCTTCTCATTGCGGGAACACGAGAGAAGCCTCCCACAGAATCGGGACGTCCCTTGGGCAACGACCCTGCAGACGGCCAATTCTCTCACACCAGAAGCGACTTGCAGTTTTTGCAGATTTTCAAGTCATTCCCCAAATTGATTGGTATTGTTTGGTTTAGGAAAGGCGAGTGGGTCCGCTTCCCCTCCCCCCCCCCCGCCCCCAAATTATTAATACTTTGACTCTGAATAGGCATTTAGGTCTTCTTTCCTCCTTTCCCTTCCTTCTCCGTTGACACTCTCTCCGCACATTTATTATTTTTTCATTTTGTTTGGGAGAGGCGGGTGGGTCCCCTTCCCCCCCTTCCCCTAAATCCCCCCATTCCCCCACCCCAATGTAATTAATTTTTTTCCGGAGAGGCGAGGGAGTCATTTCTTTCCTAACCACCACCCCCCCTTCCTTCTCCCCTTTCCCCCTTTCCCTAACTCCCTCCACCTAAAAATGTATTAATATTTCCGTTTAGGAAAGTCCTTCTTTCCCCAACTGCCCCCACTCCCCAAATGAAGAGCTTCCCTCCTTCCCTCTTCAACTTCCCCACAAATATATTCAGGTGCTGGTTTGGGAGTGGGGCCCCTTCCCTCCCTTCTCCCCCTTCCCTAACTATCCCAAATTTAAATTTTGCTTTGGAGAGGCGGTGGAGGGGGAAGGGGAGGGTGTCTCCTTTCCTTCCTACTCCACTTTCCCCAATATCACTATGCAACAACATTTGGGGGGGGGGGATTGGTTCCTTGTTTAAAAGTGTTCTTTCCTCTTTAATTGTGCGGTACTTACTTTGAAAGTAGTTATTATACTCCAAAAACCCGTTGTTTTTTTGTGGCTGCCACAAAATATGTCGAATTCGTTGAGTAGATATTCAATTATTCCTCGAAAAGCTGATTACTATTAGAGGGCTGGAGTGACCCCTTCCTTCTTCCTCTTCCCCTCTACTTCCCTTCCTTGAGGGTCCTGGGTGGGCTTGTCTTCCTCTTCTCCTTCTCCTCCTTCTCCTTCTCCTTTTTCTTCCTCTTCTCCTTCCCGTCCTTCTTCTCCCTTGGGTGGGCTGAGGCGCTTTCTCTTCCTCTTTTTACCCTTCTCCTATTTTTTCCTCTTCTCCTTCTCTTTCTCCATCCCCTTCGTCCCCTCCCCTTCCTTGATGGCCGGTGAAAGAGGTCCTGGGTGGGTTTATCTTCCTCTTCTCCTTCTTCTCCTTTTTCTTTCTCTTCTCCTTCTCTTTCTCTTTCTCCTTCCCCTTCATCCCCTCCATTTCCCTTCCTTGAGAGGGCTGGTGAGGGGAATCCTAAGTGGGTTGAGGCGCCTTCGCTTCCTCTTTTCCTCCCTTTTCTCCTTCCCTTTCTCTTTCTCTACTTCCCTTCCGTGAGGGGCCGGTGAGGGGGGTAATGGGTGGACTGAGGCGCATTGTCTTCCTCTTTTCTTCCTTCTCCCTTTCTTCCTCTTTTCCTTCCCTTTCTCCTTTCCCTTCATCCTTTCCACTTCCCTCCCTTAAGGGTTCGGGGAAGGGAATTTTGGGTGGGCTCGTCTTCCTCTCCTCCTTCTCCTTCCTCTTCTCCTTCCTTTTCTCATTCCTCTTCATCCCGTCCACTTTCCTTCCTTGAGGGTCCGATGAGGGGGATTTTGGGTGGGCTCGTCTTCCTCTTCTCCTTCTCCTTCTTTTTCTCCTTCCTTTTCTTAATTCACTTCATCCCGTCCACTTTCCTTCCTTGAGGGCCCGATGAGGGGGATTTTGGGTGGGCTCTTCTCCTTTTCCTTTCTCTCCTTCCCTTTCTTCTTCCCCTTCATCCCTTCCACTTCCCTTCCTTGAGGGTCCGATGAGGGGGATTTTGGGTGGGCTCCTCTTCCTCATCTCCTTCTTTTTCTCCTTCCCTTTCTTCTTCCCCTTCATCCCTTCCCCTTCCCTTCCTTGAGGGGGGTTTTTGAGTGGGCTTCTCTTCCCCTTCTCCTTCTCCTTCTTCTCCTTCTTCCTCTTCCAGGCGAGATGGCCTCCTCGGCCTCTCTGGAGACGGTCCTGCCCTCGGCCTGCTCGGTCCGCAGCGCGGCCTCTTCCTCCTCTTCCTCCTCCTCCTCCTCGTCTTCTTCCTCGTCGTCCAACCCGTCCAAGACGCTGGCCTTCTCCATCGAGAGGATCATGGCCAAGAGCTCGGCGGCGGCGGCGGTGGCAGCGGCGGCAGGAGGAGGAGGAGGAGGAGGAGTGGGATCCGGATCCGGGCCCGTGGCTGTCTCTTCGCAGCCGCCTTCTCCTCCCCCCGCGCCCGCCTTCGAGGCCCGTCCAGGCCCCGGCCCTTCTCCTCCGCTCCTGCCGCCCAAGAAGCTGCTGGGCCTGGGCCCTCCTCTGCCCTGCGTGGTGCCCCTCCCGGGCTACGACCCGCCGCCCTCCAAGGCCTTGCTGAACTACTCCGAGTTGTGGAAGAGCAGCCTCCGGAGCTGCGGCTCCTCCGCGCTGGGCGGCGGCGGCGGGGGCTTCTGCAAAGGCCTGTGCTGCAAAGACCCTCACCCCCATGCCCACCACCACCCCCACCGGCACCACCACCACCACCACCACCTCCCTCCTCCGCTGCCCCCTCCGCGCGTCATCAAGCCTCAGGTCATCCACCAGAGCCTCTCCGCGCCGGCCAACGGCTCCAGCCTCTACTACTTCAACTACTTGGAGGCCTCCTCCTACCCGCCCTCGGAGCTGCTCTTCACCTCGGGGCTGCTCCATCCCCAAAGTGCCGCCGCCGCCGCCGCAGCCGCCGCCGCCGCCGCCGCGCTTTCCGCGCACCAGAAACTCTTCCTGCTGGAAAATGCCAAACTGGCTGCCTTGGCCCCGCCGCCGCCGCCGCCGCCCCCGCCGCCTCCTCCGCCGCCTTCCTTGCCCGAGAAGTACCCCAACGCCCATTATCCCCACAAAGAGCGCCTCCCGGGGCAGCTGGACCAAGTCATGAAGGAGAACCTGGGCGGAGAGAGGCTCAAGGGACACCCCGGCAAGCTCGGAGGCCTCGGGAGCGCCGTCGGAGGGGGAGCTGGAGCCGCAGCAGGAGGAGGAGGGGGCGCGCCCGACGGGAAGCCCAAAAACTTCACCTGCGAAGTCTGCGGGAAGGTAAGCAAGAGGAAGAGGAGGACCAAGAGGGAGGGGGAAGGAAAGGGAGGGGGGAGAGCATCCCAAAGGACCCCTGTTTTGCTTTCCTCGGGGCATTCATATAATTACTATTATTATTATTATTATTATTATTATTATTATTATTATTTAATTAATTAATTGGAAGAGGAGGAGGATCAAGAGGAAGAAAGAAGGAAAGGAGGAAAGAAGCATCCCAAAGGACCCCTGCTGTGCTTTTCTCGGGGCATTCATATAATAACAACAACATTTTTAAAAAATAATTAATTAATTTTATTATTATTAGAGGAGGAGGATCAAGAGGAAGGGGGTAGGAAAGGAGGAAAAAAGCATCCCAGGGGACCACTGCTTTGCTTTCCTCGGGGCATTCATATAAGAACAACAAAAATAATAATAAATAAAAATATTTTTGTTATTATTATTATTATTATTATTAAAGGAGGAAGAGGAGGATCAAGAGGAAGGAGGGAGGAAAGGAGGAAAGAAGCATCCCAAAGGACACCTGCTTTGCTTTCCTCTAGGCATTCATATAATAATAATAATAATAATAATAACATAATTAATCATTAATATTATTATTAGAGGAGGAGGATCAAGAGGAAGGAGGAAGGAAAGGAGGAAAGAAATATCCCAAAGGACCCCTTCTTTGCTTTCCTCAGGGCATACATATAACAATAACAATGACAATAAAATAATAATAATAATAATAATAATAATAATAATAATAATAATAATAATGAAAGCAGAATTGACGAAAAGCAACTGGAAAAGGTGATACAATATGAGTATTTAAAGAACGAACTGCAAAGCCAGTCAAGGTGGTCCCAGTGGTGATCGGTATTCTAGGTGCAGTGTCACAAGACCTTGGCCTGCACTTAAAAACAATCCGTGCTGACAAATCCACCATCTGTCAGCTGCAAAAGGCCACCTTACTCGGACACTTGGAAAGTGGCCCAGATGTGATCAAAAACAAAAGCCAACACAGTGATCTTGTGTACGAATCTTGTTGTGCTTCAAATAATAGTAGTAGTTGTTGTTGCTGTTGTAATATAATGCATTTCTTTGTTGCCCATCACTCCTTGGTGACTCCAGACAGACTTCAACATGGTTAAAACATAAAGCATATACCAAAGGTACACACCACAAAGCCCAACCCCAACACTCCTAAAATCATCATAGAATCGCAGCGTTGGCCACCCCGTTTTGGCAGACACAGTCAAAGCACTCCTGACAGATGGCCTTCCAGCCTTTTAAAAATTCCAGAGAAGGAGACTCTACCAGTGACCAGGCTGCTTATTTCACTACCGATACCAAACAGCAGTTTTTGTCAGGAAGTTCTTCAATACTAATGTTTAGTTGGAATAATTTTTTTCCTTCCATGTGAGTCCATTGCTCCATCTCGTCCTAGGCTCCAGAGCACAAAGAAAAACGGTCTTCTTTTCTAAGCCGTTCCTCCTTCCCAGTCGCCAAACTCTTCCCATTTCCGTGGAGATGGAGCCGAGATACCTGAGGAATTGGTACCCCGGCTCCATCTCCACAGAAATGGGAAGAGTTTGGAAACTGAGAAGTCCATCTCCCTGAAATTGTCCCTCCGGATTCCTCCACGACCGCATCTACACTGTGGAATTAATCAAGTTTGGTGCGGCACCTTTGGCAGAGAAGGCGGAGGAGTTTGTAAAATTACTACTCCCATTATTAGAATTTCGTGTCAAAAAGTATCGCATAAATGTTGCAAAGCAACGCTTTTGGGTTGGAAAGTTAGCCGTTTACAAAAGAGGTGGCCCAGGGGACCCCCGGCTGTATTTACTCAGTCTTCCCCCATGACTCCAGAGCATTGAGCCAGGTCAATTAAAGTGGTTCCCAAATGCATTCATTTCACAATGTAGATGCACTCTGGGTCTGTAAATGACACAAGCCTCGTGGACAGGAGGAGGTCATCAGTACCTACGGCCCATTATTATTATTATTATTATTATTATTATTATTATTATTATTATTATTATTATTATTATTATTATTATTATTTGAAACACAACAAGACGAGTCCACAGCAAACAAGATCACTCTGCTGGCTATTGTATTGGATCACACGTCGGACACTTCCCAAGTGTCTAGGACTGTGTGATGTATCTCCGAATAATGCGTGCAGATCCCAGTAAGGTGGCCTTCTGCAGCTGTCAGGTGGTAATTTTGTCAGCGTTCGATTGTGTTTAAGTGCAGGCCAAGGTCTTGAGGCACTGCACCCAGTGTGCCGATCACCCCTAGGACCACCTTGACTGGTTTGTGCCAGAGTCTTTGCAGTTGTTGTTGTTGTTCATTCGTTCAGTCGTCTCCGACTCTTCGTGACCTCATGGACCAGCCCACGCCAGAGCTCCCTGTCGGCCGTTACCACCCCCAGCTCCCTCAAGGTCAGTCCAGTCACTTCAAGGATGCCATCCATCCATCTTGCCCTTGGTCGGCCCCTCTTCCTTTTGCCTTCCACTTTCCCCAGCATAATTGTCTTCTCTAGGCTTTCCTGTCTCCTCATGATGTGACCAAAGTACTTTGCAGTTCGGTCTTTAAATCCACATAGCATGTCAGCTTTTCCGGTTGTTTCTCTTCAATTATTCAATAATAATAATAATAATAATAATAATAATAATTATTATTATTATTATTATTATTATCATCATCATCATTATTATAGGAGCCCCCATGGTGCAATGGGTTAAACCCTTGTGCCAGCAGGACTGAAGACCGACAGGTCAGAGTTTAGAATGTGTGTATTTGTGTAGGGGGGGGGGGGACACGGATGAGCTCCCTCTGTCAGCTCCAGCTTCCCATGCGGGACATGAGAGAAGCCTCTCTCAAGGATGCTAAAACATCAATACATCCCGGCGTCCCCTGGGCAACGTCCTTGCAGACGGCCAATTCTCTCACACCAGAAGGAACTTGCAGTCACTTCTGACGCGAATTATTAGAATCATTATTATTATTAATATATTATTATTATTATTAATAATAATAATAATAATAACAGAAATTATGTTGGTTCTCTCCCTGTAGAGAAGACCCTTCAAATTAACTGGCGTAGTCTTCAAGGAGAGGGGGAGGAAATCGCCAGGAACTACCGATTATTATATAATAATAATAATAATAATAATAATAATAATAATAATAATAACAACAACAACAACAACAATAGCCGGTTTTCTGTTGGTTAACCTCCAATTGGCTCAGTCTACAAGGACAAGGAGAGGACATCGCCAGTGATTTCCTGTAGTTCCTGCTGTTGTGGTTGTAGTTGTGGTAGTTGTTGTTTAGCAGCTGGAATCCTGTTGCTTCGCTCCGAATAGAGTGGACCCCGTAAACTCGTTGCTGAGAAGCTAGTCCTCTGGGTTTGAGTAGGTTTACTCTGTTTGGGGCAAACACTAGGATTTGGGTCGTTGCAGTTCTTTGACAAACGGGGAGGGGTGGAGCAAGGGGTCGTTGGAAGCTGAAGTTTTTAACCTTCGTGTCAAAAAAAAAAAAACCCCTGGAGAAACGGAGACCGGTTTTTCAAATACCCCTCGCCTCCGTTTCTGGCTCTTGGCAAGAGTTATTATTATTATTAGAGGGTTAATATTAATATTAACAAATATCCTGCTTTGATCTCTTGATTGGGTTTGGCGGGGCCTCACAAGTGTCCTGCTCTTGCATGTCTCTCCTCCTGGCAGGTCTTCAACGCGCATTACAACCTCACCCGGCACATGCCTGTCCACACGGGAGCGCGGCCCTTCGTCTGCAAAGTCTGCGGGAAGGGATTCCGCCAAGCCAGCACGCTCTGCCGGCACAAAATCATCCACACGCAGGTACGAAAGCGGGGCAAGGGCGCGAGGACCGTTTCCATGCGTTGATCTACTGGGATAGTCACGCGCAGTCTCCAAGGCCAACTTTAAACAATGTCTCCTTCTCCTCCTCATTCTTCTCCTTTTTCTTTTCCTTCTCCTCCGTCTCCATCTTCCCTTTCTCCTCCTCCTTTATCTCCTTCTCTTCATTTTTCTCCTTTTCTTTCTCCTTCTTCCCCGTCTTTCTCTTCTCCTTCTCCACCTTGATCTCCTTCTCCTCATTCTTCTCCTTCTCCTTTACCTCCTTCTTCTCCGTCTCCCTCTTCTCCTCCTCCTTTATCTCCTTCCTCTTCTCTTCATTTTCTCCTTTTCCTTCTCCTTCTTCTCCGTCTTCCTCTTCTTCTCCATCTTGATATCCTTCTCCTCATTCTCCTTTTCCTTCTCCTCCTTCTCCTCCAACTCCCTCTGCTTCTCCTCGTTCTTCTCCTTCTCCTCCTTCTCCTCGTTCTTCTCCTTCTCCTTCGTCTCCCTCTTCCCTTTCTCCTCTCCCTTTACCTCCTTCTTTTCATTCTTCTCCTTTTCCTTCTCCTCCGTCTCCCTCTTCTCCTTCTCCTCCTTTATCCCCTTCTCCTTCTCCTTCTACTTTACCTCCTTCCCCTCTGTGGCCTCTCCTCCTCCTCCTGCTTCTCCCTTTTCTTCTTCGTCTCATTCTTCTCCTTTTTCTTTTCCTTCTCCTCCCTCTCCCTCTTCTCCTTCTCATCCTCCTTGATGTCCTTCTCCTCATTCTTCTCCTTTACCTCCTTCTCCTCCGTCTCCCTCTTCTTCTCATCCTCCTGCTTCTCCTTTACCTTCTCCACTTCCTTCTCCTTCTCCGCCTTCTCTTTCTCTTCCTTCTCCTTCTTTCTTCCCACGCTCCTCTTCTGTGGCTGCAGGAAAAGCCCCACAAGTGCAACCAGTGCGGGAAAGCGTTCAACCGGAGCTCCACGCTGAACACGCACATCCGGATCCACGCGGGCTACAAACCTTTCGTGTGTGAGTTTTGCGGCAAAGGATTCCACCAGAAAGGTATTCCGGGTGTGAAGCGCCGCGTGGGTTTCCATCCTCGGCAGAGGTTGAAATAGGGAGAGAAGGGAGAGAGGGAGCGCCGGAGAGATTGAAAGCAGGAGGGAGAAGCCAAACGAAAACAAACGAATTCAGCGTCCAGACTTGTTTTGCAAGTTCTTTATGTTGAAATAGGATGCGAATGAAGCAGTTGCGTCAATTAACTGGACGGAATTAAAGTTCCTCGCGGATCAAATTAGAGAATAAATTAGAAAATATTCCTCCTTCCCTTTCGAGATGAAATTAGAAACTAAATTAAAAAATATTTCCCTTTTTGTTTGGGAAGAAGTCAAACTCCACTTTCCGTGGAACTTGGCAGGAATTCCTTATTTCTTTCCTTGCTTGGCCAAAGAGAAACGGTTCTCCTGGAGAAGTGTCCCAACTCCCTCCCCCCCCTTTTTTTGGTCCTAATCCAGGGTTTCCCATTTGCTCCGGGTCAGGACGCTGACCCGGGCTCTAATTTTTTAATTCGTCGGTTGCCGGCTGCCTCGGCCTTGACGCAGACTGAGTTTGACAACTTCTTGACTGTCCCTTGCAGGACACTTCCTAATGAAGGCTTGCCGCAGAAGGCCAGCGCGCCAGCGGTTGTGTGTGTGTGTGTGAGTGTGCATAAGAGAGAGAAGGAATGTGCCTGCGGACGTGTGGAGATCCGAGAAAGACCCCACTTTAGTTGGATTTCCCCCTCCCCCTCTTCCTCATTCTTTTCCTTTTCCATGGCCTCTCCCAGACTCTAAACCTACCTCCTAAAGAGCCTTTTTTAGTGTCAGGAGCGACTAGAGAAACTGCAAGTCACTTCAGGTGTGGGAGAATTGGCTGTCTGAAAGGACGTTTGCCTTGTGTCAGGAGCGACTTGAGAAACTGCAAGTCTCTTCTGGTATGAGAGAACAGGTCATCTGCAAGAATGTTGCCCAGTGTCAGGAGCGACTTGAATAGCTGCAAGTCTCTTCTGGTATGAGAGAACTGGTCATCTGCAAGAATGTTACCCAGTGCCAGGAGCGACTTGAGAAACTGCTTCTGCTGTGAGAAAATTGGCAGTCTGCAAGGAGGTTGCCCTGAGTCAAGAGTGACTTGAGAAACTGCAAGTCACTTCTGGTGTGAGAGAATTAGCCATCTACAAGGATGTTGCTTTGTGTCAGGAGCAACTTGAGAAGCTGCTTCTGGTGTGAGAGAATTGGCAGTCTGCAAGGAGGTTGCCCTGTGTCAAGAGTGACTTGAGAAGCTGCTTCTGGTGTGAGAGAATTGGCAGTCTGCAAGGAGGTTGCCCTGTGTCAGGAGTGACTTGAGAAACTGCAAGTCATTTCTGGTGTGAGAGAATTAGCCATCTACAAGGATGTTGCTTTGTGTCAGGAGCAACTTGGGAAGCTGCTTCTGGTGTGAAAGAACTGGCAGTCCGCAAGGATGTTGCCCTGTGTCAAGAGTGACTTGAGAAACCGCAAGTCACTTTTTGTGTGAGAGAACTGACTTCTGCAAGGACATTTCTCAGGGGAGGCCAGGATGTTTTAACATCCTGTGGGAGGCTTCCCTTATGTCCCCACATGAGAAGCTGGAGCTGAACAGATGGGAGTTCACCCCACTTCCCAGGATTCCAACCACTGTCCTGATGGCACAAAGGTTTAACCCAGTGGTTCTCAACCTGGGGTCCCCAGATGTTTTTGGCCTACAACTCCCAGAAATCCCAGCCAGTTTACCAGCTGTTAGGATTTCTGGGAGTTGAAGGCCAAAAACATCTGGGGACCCACAGGTTGAGAAACACTGGTTTAACCCATTGCACCACCAGGGGCTCATGGTCATCTATACTGACCATTTCATCCAGATCAAAACTAGCATCAAATTCTCACAAAACTGCATGAAAGAAAAATCTTAATGCACACCAATGCGCTGTGGCCTCAGATTGTTTCTAGGATTTTTCTATGCAGTCACCTTCACTTTTTAAAATTCTGGTTCAAAACCGAATTCCTGATCAGTGTTGATGGAACCTAAGAGCACATCACTGAACATTTAATGTAATGTAATGCAGGCAGTCTGAAAGTGGACTGTTTAAATGGCGCACACTAAGAGTCTGCTGCAATGCATTTTAATAAATATACCTTGAGGAGTTCTGCAAAATAGAGATCTAAGGGCCCTTCCTGATAGGCCCTATATCCCAGGATCTGATTCCAGGTCTTTTGCTCTAACTGGATTATATGAATCCATACTGCCAGATAATCTGGAATAAACAGAAAACCTGGGATCAGATCCTGGGATATAGGGTCTATCAAGAAGGGCCATTAATGCACATCAGCAACCATGGTGAAGCTGATTAAGTGCATTCAGGCAACCTGTATATGCGTATTAGGCTGGTGGGGAGCTGGGATAAAGATTCTGTGAATTCTGGAACTGGGTCAAAACCAGATTCTATAGCAGCTTTTCTCAGCCTGTGGGTCTGGACCCCTGGGGGGTGGGGTCACCAAAGACCATCATAAAACACAGAATTTTCTGTTGGTCATGAGGGTTCTGTGTGGGAAGTGTGGCCCAATTCTATCATTGGTGGGGTTCAGAATGTTCTTTGATTGTAGGTGAACTATAAATCCCAACAACTACAACTCCCAAATGTCAAGGTCTATTTTCCCCAAACTCCACCAGTGTTCACATTGGACATATTGAGTGTTAGTGCCAAGTTTGGTCCTGATCCAGCATTGTTTGAGTCCATAGTGCTCTCTGGATGTAGGTGAACTATAACTCCCAAACTCAAGGTCAATGCCCACCAAACCCTTCCAGTATTTTTTGTTGGTCATGGGAGTTCTGTGTGTCAAGTTTGGTTCAATTCCATTGCTGGTGGAGTTCGGAATGCTCTTTGATTATAGGTGAACTATAAATCCCAGCAACTACAACTCCAAATGACAAAATCTACCCCCCCCCCCAACTTTACCAGTATTCAAATTTGAGCTTATCAGGTATTTGTGCCAAATTTAGTCCAGTGAATACATCCTGCATATCAAATATTTACAATATGATTCATAACAGCAGCAAAATTACAGTTATGATGTAGCAAGGGAAATAATTTTATGGTTGGTGGTCACCACAACATGAGGAACTGTAAGGGGTCGCTGCTCTGTAGTGTCTAGAAGCATCATCCAGGCCTTGAGTATTTTCCAGGGCTTCCTTCCTTCTAATAATCCCCACAACAAACTGACTTCCTTTCTACTAGTTTCACACTGCCTTAACTGGCCAGGATCCCCAACATAGGCCCATCCCTGCTTGTTCCTCTGGCATTTTTGGACTGATAAGAGCTGGGCTGTTGGAAATGGTGCAATAGCCCTTTTGGGATGGGTGTAGAGTTTTAATGAATTTTAATATTTTAATGTTTAATCATGTTAGTGACCCAAAAGGTTTAGTTGTTTTTTACATGTTGTTATCACTATTTTAACTCCTTCAAATGTTTTTAATTTGTATGGAGTCATAGTAATTGTTAGCCATCTGGAGTCCCTATAAAAAAGTCAATAACTACAATAAATATTCCTTGCCCAACAGGGAACTACAAAAACCACAAGCTGACCCACAGTGGGGAGAAGCAGTACAAGTGCACCATCTGCAACAAGGCCTTCCACCAGATCTACAACCTGACCTTCCACATGCACACGCACAACGACAAGAAGCCCTTCACTTGCCTCACCTGTGGAAAGGGCTTCTGCAGGAACTTTGACTTGAAGAAACATGTGCGGAAGCTCCATGACCCCTCATCTGCCCCCCTGTCCTCCACCAAGGAGCTCACCAGGACTGGGCCACCCAGCTAAAAGAAGATGAAGGGGGAAGCACTACATCCCAGTGGACAAGGGCCTCCTCTTGCTCTTGAACCATGTGATGCTGTTCCCTCCTTCTCTGTGTCTCTGGCTACATCTACACAAGATGCACATGCCCATATGCCAAGCCTGGGTGGTACTTACATGCACTGGAGAGGTTAACTGAAAGCTGGTTCCAGGATCCGCAGTATCTGGTTTCACAGTTCCTCCTTGGGCTCATCTTTACTGACATTATAATGCAGCTTGGAACTGGTTTTGCTGCGTGGGTGATTGCACTGACAGGTCTGGAACTGGTATGAGGTCAGGTGGGTGATGATGAGTGCTTCTACACTGACACTATAATTCAGCTTGGGATTGGTTCAAAAGGACCTGCTTTTGCTGCACAAGGTGATTAGATTGACATGTCTGGAACTGGTTTGAGGTCAGATGGGGGATTACATTAACCATGGACCTGGCACCAAACCACTTTGCAAGGTTTTCTCCCACATTTCTGGGAGAGATGAGCATCAGTGCTCCAACTAACAGAGCCAGGTGTCTACAACATAATTTGGCCTGGATCTGGAATCCACTGCTGCAGTGCATTATTTGGCTGGTCAGAATTTCCTGTGACTACTTTTAATGTGATGTATACCCTTAAATGTGTGCTGCCATGCACACTGGCAACATGTATTGAGCTGACCTGTGGGTTTGAGTTGTCTCAAACCCACATTATAGTGTCAGTGTATATTAAGGCCCTTTCCCTTCATCTGTTTTGCCAAGTGATGTGGTTTGCACCTATTTGCACTGAAGCGCATCTAGCAGCCTGATTTGGAGTATCCACACTGTGGTTTTGAGACAACTCAAAACCACATTATAGTGTCAGTGTAGATCAGGCCCTTTTCCCTTCGTAGGTTTTGCCAGGCGATATGGTTTGCACCTATTTGCGCTGAAGCACATCTAGCAGCCTAATTTGGAGTATCCACACTGTGGTTTCGAGTTGTCTCAAAACTACATTATAGTGTCAGTGTAGATGAGGCCCTTTCCCTTCATTGGTTTTGCCAAGTGATGTGGCTTGCACCTATCTGCGCTGAAGCACATTTAGCAGCCTAATTCAGATTATCTGAGGTGTGTTTATTCTGATTTAAGGCCTTGAAGTGCATTCCTCCATTTTCAAGCCGCCTTCACTCCACATTAAGAAGTCAGTGCAGATCTGCCCTCTTGTCAATTAGTTCCACTGAAGCTGCTGAAGCGAGGCCACTTTGGATGTAGGGGGTCCATAGAGCCATGCACATATATTACACAGAGATATTTAAATATAAATATATATAAATATCTGTATATATGGCGAGTAAACTTATTTAAAACTTTGGATCTGAACTCCATGGGAATCCTTGGGGATCTTGATCCAGGCCTCACTAGAGACAGTTGGGCTTCTCCTTCTACATATGTATATATGATTGTAAATTTAAATTTTAATGTACACTGGAATAACTGAGGGATATATCATCTATGAGGCAATAAAAGGTCACTTAATAGGAGTCTTATTTCTTCCCCATCTTTCAAGAGCTGTTTTTTAAAATTAATTTCTTTAATTAATTTCTGAATCCCTTGGGGAGAGAGGGTGGGTTAGAAATAAATTGTTATTATTATTATCATCACTGGTTACAATTCTTAAAATCATTATTATTATTTTGTTGTTGAAGGCTTTCATGACCAGAATCACTGGTTTGTTGTTTGTTTTCAGGACTGTATGGAATACAGCAAAGAAAACTTACAGCAACCCAATAATTATCTGGAGTGGGCAGAAAGAACTGAAGGCAAGGATTCCACTGAGCCAAGTGGGGTCAAACTGCATTCATTCTACAGTGTAGATCAGGCATGGGCAAACTTTCTAACTTGGGGGCATAGGAGCAGGGTGGGTGGTGGTCAGGGGGTTCTCCCCATTTACCCTCCCTGCCCTTTCCTCCCCTTCCCCTTCTCTTTGGAGGCAGAAAGTTAAGGAAATATGGGAATCCAAAAAGGTTAGTTTTGGTCAGGATGAGATGGTGGATGGGAGAAAAAAAAGTGTTCCCATTGGACCCCTGTATTGCCTGCTCCTGGTACAGAACCCTAGAATCCTAGAACTGGAAGAGACCCCCCCCCCCCCAGGGCCATCCAGTCCAACCCCTGCCATGCAAAAAGGCACAATCAAAGTGCTCCTGATAGACATCCTTTTCGTAAAAGCCTCCAGAGAAGGAGACTGGACCATGCTCCCAGGCAGCCTATGCCACTCTCCACAGCTCTTGCTCTCAGGACAATCCCTTTCCCTGCCATTTGAAACCATTGTTCCCTTGTGGCCTGGCCTCTAGAGCAGCAGAAAGTCAGTTTTCCTTCTCCTCCTCAATGGGACACCCTTTTAAATCTTGAAACATGGTTCTCATGTTCCCTCTCTACCTCCTCCCAGCTAAACATCCCCCAGGAGGAAAGGAGGAAGGAAAAAGAGAAGGAAGAAAGGAAGGGTGGAAGTGAATGGAAGGAGAGAGGGAGGAAAGAGAGAAGGAAGGAAAGACAAAAGGGGAGGAAGGAAGGAGAAAGAGAGAGGGAAGGAGGGAGGAAAGAGGAAGGGAGGGAAGGAAGGAAGGATGGGAGGGAGGGAGGTTGGGAGAGGAAGGTAAGGAAGGGAGTGAGGAAGGAAAGAGAGAAGGAAGGAAAGATAGGATAGTGAGAAAGAGGAGGGCATGAGAAAATAGCCCAAGGGTTTGTCCATACCTGGTGTAGATGTATCCCTAGGTAATTATTGAAGCAAATTTCCTTAACGACTGGGACACAGGGAGGGTTTTAAAATATGTGTGTGTGTGAGAGAGAGAGAGAGAGAGAGAGATAGATTTTTAAAAAATGGACAGAAATTCAGGCAATCTGGGCTTCAAATGCTTGAACCAGAGTTTCCCTTCCCTAGGCGTCTGCCACCAACACCCACCTCGGGGGGGGGGGGGGGTTTGGGTTTCAGTTTTAGATTTGGGAGGGGGGGGGTGAAAAACCTAAAAGCTCTCTCCCTAGATTGCTTCTTTCTGTGTTTTGTATGTGTGTCAGGAGCCTCAGGAGCCACTTGAGAAACTGCAAGTCCCTCCTGTTGTTGTTTATACTAACCTTTAGCTTAGTGGCCTCATGGACCAGCCCACGCCAGAGCTCCCTGTGGGCAGTTCCCACTCCCCAGCTCTTTCAAAGCCAGCCACTTCAAGGATAACATCCATCCGTCATGCCCTTGGTCGGCCCCTCTTCCTTTTTCCTTCCATTTTCCCCAGCATCATTATCTTCTCCAAGCTTTCCTGTCTTCTCATTATGTGGCCAAAGTACTTCATCTTTGCCTCTAATATCCTTCCCTCCAGTGAGCAGCCGAGTATTACACCCTGGAGTATGGACTGGTTGGATCTTCTTGTGGTCCAAGGCACTCACAGAATTTTCCTCCCTCATCACAGTTCAAAAGCATCTACCTTCCTTCACTCAGCCTTCCCTATGGTCCAGTTCTCACATCCGTAGGTGACTATGGGGAATACCATTGCTTTAACTATGCGGATCTTTGTTGCCAGTGTGATGTCTCTACTCTTCACTGTCTTATCGAGATTGGTCATTGCTCTCCTCCCAAGAAGTAAGCGTCTTCTGATTTCGTGGCTGCAGTCTGCATCTGCAATAATCTTTGCACCTAGAAATGCTCCCTCTATTTGCCAGTTATAATAATCTAGTTTTTTTTTTAAAAAAAAAATGTTTAACTGCAACCCAGCTTTTGCACTTTCTTCTTTCACCTTGGTTAGAGGGCTCCTCAGCTCCTCCAGTCCCTTTTGGTGTGAGAGAATTGGCCTTCTGCAGGGATGTTGCAAATAGGATGATTTACCATCCTATGGGAAGCTTCTCTCATGTCCCCCCATGGGGAGTAAATATTGGAAGTTGAGCCATCCCTTCGAAGTGGCTTTGATGATGTGTAGGAGTAATTTCTTCTTTGTGAAGGTGGATAATGATGATGATTATGTAGTAATATACAGGGTGCTGCAGTTGTCCCATACATAGGGAAAAAGAGAAATGGTAGCTGAACTTATCTTTATTTACAAAATATAAATGACAACATATTTACAAAATATTATCTATGTGTTGTCTATTTGCATTATAACAATATTTAAAAGTATAAATATTGAACATGTATATAGTATAATATTATAACATATACAAGATAGTATAATATAGTATAATATCATATGAGTTTGCTATTTTTCCTAAGTGTTGAAAGTTTTGGGACACCCTGGATACACAATATAATGCTATATATATATATATATATATATATATATATATATATATATATATATGAATATTATATATTTAAAACTTTTTGTTATATTATATATTATAGTATATTACTTTATTATGTTATGTTATATGATATTGTATTTAACTTTTATATAGAATATATGAATAATATATTTAAAACTTTTTGTTATAATTTACTATGTATTATATTACTTTATAATATTATATTATGCTATATTATATTGTACATAACTTTTATATAGGATATATATATATGAGAATAATATGCATTTAAAACTTTTGGTTATAATTTATTAGATATTATATTATATCATATAGAACTTTTATAAAGGATATATATGAATAATATTTTACATTTAAAACTTTTTATTATAATTTATTAGATATTATAATTATTATAATTTATTATAATTTATTACATATTATATTATTTATTACATATTATATTATGCTATATTCTAATATATATAACTTTCATATATGATATATATGAATAACATTATGCATTTAAAACTTTTGGTTATAATTTATTATATATTTATATATATATAATTTATTATATATTCTATTCTATTATATATAACTTTTATATAGGATGAATTATATATATATATATATATATATATATATATATATATATATAACATTTTTGGTATAATTTTATATTATATTATATATAACTTTTATATAGGATATAAATGAATAATATGCAATTAAAACTTTTGGTTATAATGTTTATATATTATATTATATATAACTTTTATATAGCATATTGCTGTGTCTTCTACCGCTGGGGAAAGAAGACTCCCCCACCCTTTGGTAAATGTTGTATATATTTGTTTATTATTATTATTATTATTATTATTATTATTATTATTATTAGTATTCTATCTTAACCCCTGAGCTCTCACGAAGGGCTCTCAGGCTTGCTTTCGGTGGAAATGACCCAAATGAAGAGAGCCAAGGGAGACCCTTCAAACGGCATTGATATTAATCATGTAATCATCCTCCTCCTCCTCCTCCACCCCGGGACCCTTTTCTTGAGCCCACCAGCAAGTAGACGGAGACTCCAGGGTTCCCCCCCCCCCCTCCGCTCCGCGCCTCCTAATCTGCCCGTGTCGATTCTGCCCACCAGATTATTATCATCAGAGTCATTATCGTCATTATCCGCCACTCTTTCGCCCGACCGCGCGCGTGCTGCTCAATCCACGCTGGCCAATGAAACGGAGAAATGAAGCGCCGCAATTGTCTGGGGGCCGCTCGGCCGGGCGCTCACCTTTAATTGAGTGGTTAAATGCTGGGAGGCGAGCGCGTTTCATCGAGAGAGAGAGAGAGCGGCGCAGAGCCGGGGGAACAAACCACTTTCCACAAGGGGGGGGGGGGGCACAAAACCCATCTGCACCCTCGGTCGAGATTTCCAAATGCTTTTTAATTGTGATTATGCTTTTTTACAAAGTCCTAATGAAGGTTTTCTTTTCTTAACGAGGAGATTGTGATTACATTTACCACCAAACCCACCTGTTAAAATCCAAATAGCAGTTATCCGACTGGACTCTACTTCTCGTGCGATCTACGCTGCAGAGTTAACACAGTTCTACAGCACTTTAAGCGCCATGGCTCAAGGCTATGGTTTGCAGTCATTTCACAATGTCTTTAGCCAGAGAGTGATGGACAAATCCCTAGATTCCACAGCATTGAGCTATGGCAGTTTAAGCACTTCATTCTATAATGTAGATCAGGAATGGGAAAACTTTCTAACTTGGGAGTCACATGCTAAGTGCACTCCCTGCTTAGAGGACTGGCTGCCTGGAGATGGAAGGGAGGAAGGGAAGGAGGAAGGGAAGAGAGAAAGAAGGAAACACAAAAAGGATGGAAGGAAGGAAGGAAGGAAGGGAAGGAGGAAGAGAGAAGGAAGTACGAAAAGGAGGAAGGGAAAGATGGAAGGAGAAAGAGGAAGAGAGGGAAAGAGAGAGAGGGAAGGAAAGATGGACGGAAGGAAGGAAGGAAATAAGAAGGAAGGAAGGAAGGAAGGAAGGAAGGAAGGAAGGAAGGAAGAATAAAAGGATAGAAGAGAAGGAGGAAGGAAGGAAGAGAGAGGGAAGGAGGAAAGGGAAGAGAGAAGGAAGAAGGAGAAAAGGGGAGGAAGGGAGGGAGAAAGAGGGATGGAAGGAAGGAAGGAAGAAGGTGAGAGACAGGCATGTGGGGGGGGGGGGCTTGAGGGGCTTCAGTCCCCCCCCCC